AGTGATGAGGACATCGAACCACCAAGTCAAATAATTCAAGCACCACTTGTACCAAGCGGACCAATGACAAGAACTAGGAGCAAGAGTCTGGAAAACAAGTTCAACATGTTTGTGAACCAGCTGGACGAGAAGGACTAATCCTGCTTGATCAGTTTGAAGGATTGCAACTAACGCCATCCGAGAACTCACATTTGATAGATCTCTTTAACAAGGTGTCGCTGCCTGACCCCAACGTTCGAGTAAGTGATCTACCTATGGATAGAAAGCTCTTTGAGTCTAGTTTTCAGAACACTAAAGATCATATCCAGAAGCCTTACCAAACGCTCAGAAAAGGCTCCGAAGTGAAGACATGTCCGGTAGACCCTTTGATAGCCAATAGCACCAAATGGATTCTATTCAAGCCTAGTCATGAAGCCCATCTTACCATGGTTTCTTTGGCCTTAGAAGAAGCATAGAAAGCCCTCATATCAGCTGGAGAATCTCAAGAGAAGACCTATTCAAATTATAGACAAGAGATCATGTACCATTTTTTCCTTGTTTTATGTTAAAGCTTAACAACTCTTTCCTTTTGTCCTTTATTTCGGTTTTTTGTGTTTTTCCTTGTTTTCTTGCAGGTTTATTGTGTTTTTCCTTTGTTTTATGTTTGAGAACCTGGCTATATAATGCCTTGCACTTGTACTTTTAGTTTCACACATTTTGAATCAATAAAGACATCATTTTCTTAAATCTAGTTATTCTTCTCTTTGTCTTGTGAGCTAAGTCCAAGTCTTGTGAGTTAAGTCCAAATCTTGAGAGAAACTTTTGAAGTATCAGTAGGCTTTAACACCTATTGGGGTTCGTAACAATTCACCCTCACTTCCACTATATCCTAGATTTAGACAAAGAGCGACCTTAGTCCAATTGTCTATATCGAACCGGTTTTGTCACAAGACTTCAAGCTTATATCAGTTCCCATTGTTTTAGTGTCATTGATAGTGGCAATATCAGTGGTCTAGTGCCAAGTTTTGGCAATGTAGGAATGAGTGTAAAACCAAGAAGTTCAAAACATTGGTGACTCAAACCGAAGCTAGTGCGACTTTGTCATCGGCTCTGGAAGATTGCACAAGGATAAGCTCGGTAAGATCTGAATCCTTACAAGTGGTTCGAGCCATAGCGTTAGGCTCGAAAGTTTTCAAACTATATGATTTAATCCATGACTCTTCATATCTTTTCAAAAGATGTGGATCTATCTTCTTTAGTGTTTCTTCAATTCTCGCAAACAAAGCAGTTTATGCTATTGTAACCGGATCATTTTAAATTAATGAAAAGTATTGGTTGAC